GGTCAATTTGCATACCTCTGCCATTTCATTTCCTCTTTCCCCACAACCAACATAAACAACCGTGTCTGAGTTAGAGTACTGTGTTCACATATCAACACAAACCAAGAGAATCAGAGAAAAGCTCAAAAAGCGAATTAACAGCTCAACTTGTCAATATGAAGGCGAAGGAAATAGGTCACCTTGGAGAGAGCCTGACTAATAACTGTTTTTCCACACCCAAATGCACCAGGAATAGCACAAGTGCCCCCAAGCACTGAAGGAAATAGGGCATCAAGAACACGCTGAAATAAAACAATGTCAGCCCAAAGGCAATTGCTAAAGATAAAAGCTCTGCAGAGTAGATAACACATCATGGCAGGACAAAATATTAAGTCATTAATTACCTGTCCGGTTAGAAGAGGAGTATCAGCAGCAAGCTTTGTTGCAACAGGCCTGGGTGTCCGTACAGGCCAAGTCTACATATATAGAGAAAACTCAAAATGAGCATTATCCTGAAGTTAATATTAAGAAGAAGAAAACACTAGAACACACCACTGCAGCATAAAGAAGATTTAGAGTCAATCTTAGTTAGTTACCTGAAGCATAGTATAAGTCTTTTTGACACCTTGAAAGTCAAGTTCAAGAACAGTATCCTGCAGAAACAAAGATTGGGTAGAGAATCTCATAAATAAAATGGCTACGGCATGGACAATAACAATAAATGACATCCTTCATGTGTTTTACTCTTCAGTATTTTGTGCTGTGTGAGCAGAGAAGATGGGTGAGTAGAGAATTAGTTTATAATCCTACCAGCATAAACATGTGCAGTACGTGGGATAGTAATTTGAAAAGAGTTTGTGAGAAGGATAACATATAAAAAGGAAAACCTTCAATGAGTATTGCCCTGGTGGTGCAATGTAAGCTATCTTTCCCATGGCATCAGGAGGAAGTGCCACACGGTGTTGCATTAAACTGTTTTCTATAACAGTCTGAAAAACAAATCAAGTGAGAATTTAAAGTGTACTAATACAAACAGTTAACACCCTTTTAAAAGAAAATTTTAAATTGTATACACTTACCGCATATAGATCTCCACCTGTTAAGACGTCTCCCTCACCTGGCATCAGAGTAGCATACCAGAAAACGATCAGAATTGACACATCAAGCACAAGAAACATTTATATGCGTCCCATAGATTATTAAACAAAACAAAGAAACAATTAAAAACCAAAAGTAACACTGGGTTTTCTGATTGGTACCTAATTTATTTGGCTGAAATTCCCAAAGTATGTCCTTGTCAAGTGCCGGAACAGATACACCACGTGGAATATAAACATCGCCAGACCTTATTGCAATTGTCTTCAAAGGCCTCTGTGTTTGGGATTCAAAAAGAAGGTGGACATTATCAGGCAGTGACTTTGCAAGAAACAAAACCATAACAAACTATTAAATTAAAGCATGGTTGAAGATTAAAAATATGTCGGTAGCATGTCTTATAAACCTGAATACCGTCAAAGATGTTCCCCAATATACCAGGGCCCAGCTCCACTGATAAAGGCTGTAATTTAAAAAGTAAAATAAAAATAAGATTAATTGAACAATTCATAAACAGATAAAGCAATTGGAGAATGCTTAAACGAAATTGTGTTTTCACCTTGTGTGTACGTAGAACGGGATCATTAACCATAAGCCCAGCTGTTTCTTCATAGACTGCATGACAGCATATACTTGTAAAAAACTTCCTCAGAGTCTAGGATCTGGTATATACCACCAAAGTCTCCTCCTAGTGCTTCTATCTTAATCAAGATATTATTCGAGAATCTCTACTAGCAATGAGAATGTATTTTTCTTTTCATTTAACTAAAGTGGTTTTCTGGAGGATCTTGGGATAAGATCCACTTGGAATAATATTAAAAGACAAATGCACAATCACACTTTTACAATACAATAACTAAATGAAGGGAGCATGAGGAGAAATGGAAGCTTTTCCAGGGCCACATTTTTGGGGGACAATATACCATTAGTAGGAAAGAATAAGATTGAGAAACATATACCCTGAATTGTTGCTGAATCTCCTTCCAATCGAATGATTTCCCCAATGAGGTTGTCATGTCCAACCCGGACAAGTTCATACATAGCAGCACCCGCCATTCCATCAGCAACAACAACGGGACCTGACACCTGCACAAATAGGAGAATAAGTTATAGGAATGCAAAGCATATGTGAATTTTTCCTAGTGCTGCAAGAAGAAACCAGTATAGTTGTTCCATGCTGCTCTCAGCATAGTTCAGTGGCAATACAAGGGAAAGCTTAAAACTAAATTAAAGGCGACAACGTCTTAGCATACTTGAAAGGGTTATTATAACATATTATCATCAAATCAATTCTTTTCTGAGCTTCAAAAATCAACAAAGCCAGTTGCAAAGTAACCATACAGCTGAAAAAACAAAGACCCTAGAAAAATGGAGCAAGGAATAACACAAATGACTAGGAGACCACCAAGCTAGAAAAACATACATAAGTAACATAACTACACAATACACATACAAATAAGGAATACATAGCAGCAGCAGAGCTTCGAAACAATGGTAAGTACTTATGATTTCGTCGCTTCAGATTTGGAACCCTCAACGGGTCAAATCAAGCATAAAATGGTAGCAAAGAAAGCACAGATCGAGATCGGGATCGAAAAGGCGAACCTTGCGGACATAACCATACTCGCTCTCCTTTTCAGAATCCTCGAAAGTGGTCATTGGACCTCCGTAGAGTGACGGCATTGCGGCAGACTACGGCCGTAGGGGAAACGCTTGATATTCGACGGTCCGATCGGCGATAAGCTCTTCACAGCCCAATTCAATTGCGGGATAAGCTCGGGATTTACTGATCGTGTGCAAATCGGGTAAGAGGTCAATTCCGGGGAGAGATAGGGAAAGAAGGAGCGTACGAACTGTGAGGTGATGAATGATGGCGCCAGACGCTAGTAACTGTCGGGTTTTACGCGAGGGGACGGAGATGGATCCGGCGATCTGGTGCTATTCGGGGGTTGACTAGGACATTGCAATTATGCATGAACCATGTGACACCTACCAGTATCTACCGACTATCACCACAAACAAACAAATATCCGGGTGAAAAATTAACAAACATGGTGTTGTAATTAAAAGTGTTTTCCCAAAATAATTTTGAATAAAAAACTATTTATTATAAAATTAGGATTGATTTAAAAATATTTATCTAGATACGGATTATTATTGAAATGAATCTTGATTAATCTAAGTTTGTGGGGTGTTTGGATCTGATACTTAAAATTTTTTCTATTCTTTCAGGGAGTAGAAGTAGAAGTTGGAGGCTATAAGTGAAAATGTAGAAGTACTTCTGAAAACTGATTCTGATTCAGCTTCTGATTTAAAAAAGAAGCACAAACAGAATCAGTTTCAAACACCCTCTTAGTTGGTGACTCTCTCCTAAAATTGGAACTCACCAAGGAAGCTAGCAAATTGGAAATCACTTCATACGACCCAACTCAATAAAAATACTCTTTTAAACTAATATACCTTTTTTATTTTCTTAATCAGTTTAGGCATGTAAAAATTTTCCATTTTTCTAAAGTTAAATCCTAAGGCTTTACTCCGTATTTTAATTAAAAAAGCAATAATCCGTGAAAAAATGGCCTGGTTATTACCTACGGACTTTGATATTTCAAAAATATGACTTTATTTCCGTTTGGACACATATGTGACTTAAAATAGTCCAAATCGTCAAAATTATCCGCCTAACCCTAACCCATTCTCTGTCCTTAGATTCTCTTCCACAGCTACGCACTCGAGGATGTTTGAGGATGGAGATTCAAGCTCACGGCGACAATGGAGATTCATGGTCGCGTCTCCGACGAAGATGCAGAAGCGGCTAGACACCGCCGCACGGTCCTTCTCTCCGCAAGGTGATCGCGTTATCCGGTTGAGCCACCACCGCCACTCTTCTCCTTCTCTCTTCTCGCGCGTCTACAACACTATCGCCTCTTCGCCGTCGTTTTCGTCTTCAATGGAGTGTTTCTATTGCTGCCGCTTTCATCTTCGATGCCGTCTGGACGTTTTCCATGGAGTGTCAAGTGTCAAAATCCTGAGAAAATCTTTAGATTTTCAGATCCCCGCTGCTAGATTTCAGATCCGTTGCTAGATTTCCAGATCTCGTTGCTCGATTTTCCAGATCCCGTTGCTAGATTTCCATATCTGGAATGATAGGGTTTCAGACTGTAATGGAGGCGGGTGGCAGGGTGTGCGCTGAGGACTGTGGTGGGGGTGGTCACCGGTGACCGGAGTGGCGAAGGTCACTGGATAGGTGGTGAGTGACGGTGGCCGTGTCGGCCAACCACCACTGTCGGAGTCAGCGTGTCACTGTGGCCGATAGTCACTGTGGTCGGGGCAGTCACTGTGGCCGGGGGCAGTCACTGTGACCGGCGGGGTAGACACTATGGCCGGCGAGGTAGTCACTGTGGTCGGTGGGGCAGTCACTTTGACTGGCGGGGCAGTCACTGTGACCGCCGGGGTCACTTTGGCCGAAGTCACTTTGACCGGAGTCACTTTGGCGGCGGCGGCGGTGATGTGGATGGCGGCGGCGGCGATGTGGATGGCGGCGGCGGCGGCGATGTGGTTGGCGGCGGCGGTGCTATGGTTGGCGGCGGCGGCGGTGGTGCTGGGGTTGGTGGACCGGAGGTGCTGGTGGCTACAAATGTATAAAAGGAATATTAAAAAATAAATATATAATTAAATATAAGGAATAAATGTCTTTAACTCACATTTTAGGAAAAATTTAAAACATGTCACTTTTTTATCTTTTTCATTCATTTTAGTAATATTGGAATAAAAAAGCCATAATCCGTATGCTAATGGCGTTTTTTAACTTAGTGCGGACGGAGCTTGAGAGCCTTTCTCTCTAAAACTTCAGTCTTCCTAGGGCTCGGCCGCTAGGGTTCGATTTTTCCGATTTCGTGTATAACGAAGGTCGGTAGCTCCGACGCGGGGAAGGATTCTGGCAGCAAGGGAATAGACGCAGCAGGATCGGCTTCGGGCGCAAGGACGGAACAGGGGGTTTCGATCGAAGGAGATTGCCGGATGGAAGACATAGTCAACTCGTACAAGAAGATGACAATGGAGGAACAGAAGAACGGGCTTAATTTCGATGAGGAAGTGGAGGAAGGAGGAGAGGAGGAGAACGACCCGAAGGTCTTCCCGGTGGTTGTGGTCGTCGTCACTGACCGTAGGGTCAAATTACTGGGGCTTCCAAGAACTGATGACTTCAATCTGGGGACCAGGGAGAGGTATGTCCATCAAGGACTGTTAACGTACATATTATTTTATTAATAATGTACAATGTTACTATTTAATCCATGCACGGCCATACAACAGTGAACCCAATCCTACTACGGATGCATGTGGACATACTCCTGGAAAGCTTCCTTACTGTTATTATTTCCTTCTATTACGGAAGGTTATCACTATCCATCTATAGGTTGTTGTACTACTACTTACTATACGGATAGTTGATATATACGGATAGTTAGATTAATTAGATAAGATTTGACTTGTAATCTATTATGTACTTGTACTGCTATTTATACTCAACGATAGATGAATAAACAGGACGGTGAATTTCATCAGATTTAACTTGGTATCAGTCACCAGCTTCTTTCCTCTCTTTTCCATGGCATCTCAAAAATCTTCCTCTTTCCACCCGGCCTTAGCCATCACAAATATCAAAAATTTCATCCCAATCACTCTTGACATGGAGAATGTCGAATTCTCTTCGTGGGTTGAACTTTTCAAAATCACCGCCCGCGCCTACCAGGTGCTTGATCATATCATTCCCTCGAATGATACTTCCTCCGCTTCTGCTTCCGCTACTGTCACGGATTCCCTCACCCCGGAACAAATCTTGGAGGCCGCCGCTGCCAAAGCTGAATCCCTCTCTCTCTGGAATCGCTTGGACGCCATTGTTCTCCAATGGATTTACGGGACTATATCACACGATTTGTTGCACACTATTATTGAACCGGATTCCACGGCTTAACAGGCTTGGGAGCGTCTGGCTGACATATTTCAAGACAACAAAAACACTCGGGCTGTTCATCTAGAGACTCAATTCTCTAACACCCGTCTTGAAAATTTTCCCAATGTCACCTCCTATTGCAAAGCTCTCAAAACTCTCGCCACTCAGCTAGCCAACGTGGGTTCCAAAGTTGATGAACCACGTCTTGTTCTGCGGATGGTCAACGGCTTGACCGAAACATATGACACAGTTGCTTCATTTATCCAGCAGAGTAATCCTCTTCCCATATTCTACAAGGCTCGTTCCATGATTCTTTTGGAAGAGACCCGTAAGGCTCAGCAATCTGGAGTCACATCTGCGGCTGCTTTGATTCATACCGGCAGTCCATCCCCGGCACCGACTTCTCCTCGCCCGCCTCGATCCGTTTCTCATGGTCGGGGCCGTACCTCTCGCCCCAACAAACCCCGCAATTCGGCCCCTACACATGGAGCTCCTGGTTATTCGGCCAGCCCCTGGCCCATGCCGCCTCCATGGGTTTTTTATCTGCCACATCAATGGACCCCTCCATGCCCCTATCCCACTACTGGCACGAGTGCTATGGCTCCACGCTTTGCAAATCCTGCCGCCGGTATTCTTGGACCTCGACCGGCGCAGGCTCACACCACCAGTTACATGCAACCCACCGACATTGCCGCCGCCATGCACACCATGTCCCTAACACCTCCTGATGCAAATTGGTACATGGACACCGGCGCCACTTCGCATATGACGGCGAATCAAGGTACTCTTGCGTCTTATTTTTTTGATAGTCCTAATAGTCATATTATTGTTGGTGATGGTAATCGGATTCCTGTTTTGGGTCGTGGTCACACCACCCTTACCCCACCCCATCCCCCTCTTACTCTTCGTCATGTTCTTCATGCCCCCGGTCTTGTTAAAAATTTAATTTCGGTCCGTCGTTTCACTACGGATAATCATGTTTCAATTGAATTTGACCCGTTTGGTTTTTCTGTGAAGGATCTCCGGACGGGCATTCCGGTCATGAGGTGTAATAGTTCAGGAGAATTATATCCCGTCCTCCCATCCACAGTTGCTTCTTCTAGTTTTGCATCATCCTTCTTGGCTGTCTCGGCGGATATCTGGCATAATCGTCTGGGTCATCCAGGGGATCCCATTTTTAGTCATCTTAGCACTAATAAATTTATTACTTGTAATAAAGTATGTTCTGCTTCATGTATCTCGTGCCAACTAGGCAAGCATATTAAAATTCCATTTCCTACTTCTAGGACTACTACATATGCTCCGTTTGATATAATACATAGTGACCTATGGACTTCACCCGTTTTAAGTTCTTCGGGACACCGATATTATGTCTTATTTCTTGACGATTATAGTAAATTTTTGTGGATTTTTCCTCTCCATAATAAATCTCAAACTTTCTCTACCTTTGTCAATTTTCACACTTATATACGCACACAATTTGAGCGTAATATTAAAGTTTTCCAATGTGATAATGGCAAAGAATTTGATAACTCTCTTTTCCGTCAACACGGGCTTAATCATGGCATGCATTTTCGTTTCTCTTGTCCATACACCTCACCCCAAAATGGTAGAGCTGAACGTACTATTCGGTCAATCAATAATATTGCCCGTACTTTACTACTGCATGCCTCTATTCCCCATACTTTCTGGCCTCACGCCGTCCAAATGGCCACTTATCTCCACAATATTCTTCCCTCCCAAACCCTCTCCTTCGCCTCCCCTACCGAAATTTTATTTCATAGAGTTCCCGACTACTCTCACTTACGTGTTTTCGGGTGTCTATGTTTTCCCCATACTCCACCACATCAAATTCATAAACTCCAATCCCGGTCTACTCCGTGCATTTTTCTTGGCTACCCTCCTAACCATAAAGGGTATAAATGCTATGACCCTCAAACCAATACCATAATTATTTCCAGGCACGTTACTTTCCTAGAAAACCATTTTCCCTATAAAATCAATTCCGCATCCCATTCCTTGCCTACCCCACTTCCTGATGACTCTGCTCACCCCTTTATCCATAATTTTCTACAAGGTGACACCACACCCTCCAACACCCCACGTGCCACAATTACAAATCCATGCAGTGTCCCCTCCTCTCCCACATATACCTCCTCTCCACCTCCCGATATTACCTCCCCACCCCCCTCCTCCTCTACGTCGGCCAGCCCGTCAAATTCCCCATCCCCACAGCCTATCACTATAAAGCCCACTCATCACATGCTCACCAGAAGTCGTGCTGGAATATTCAAACCTAAGGCTCCGTTTTCTCTCCACGTTACACATTGTCCCATCTCGACAGAAGTCTCCCCTATCCCAAAATCTCCTCTCACGGCTCTCCAGGATCCGAACTGGAAATCTGCAATGTGTGATGAATTTGGTGCTCTCATTAAAAATAATACGTGGGAGTTGGTTCCCCGTCCCTCTAACGTCAATATTATTCGATGCATGTGGTTGTTTAAACATAAATACAGGTCTGATGGTACTCTTGAACGCCACAAAGCACGCCTTGTTGTTAACGGACGCTCTCAACAACCAGGTATTGACTTTGATGACACCTTCAGCCCCGTTGTCAAACCTGCCACTATACGTACTGTTCTTGCTTTGGCGCTTTCTCGTTCATGGCCACTCCATCAATTGGACGTCAAAAACGCCTTTCTTCATGGCACCATTGATGAGACCGTTTATATGCATCAACCTCCCGGCTTCAAAGACCGTGCTCATCCTAATCATGTATGCCGTCTTCGGAAGTCCTTATATGGACTCAAACAGGCTCCACGCGCTTGGTACCGGCGATTCTCCTCTTTCATCACCACAATTGGTTTTCGGCCAAGTAAATGTGATCACTCTTTGTTCATTTATAAAAAAAGCAATGACACAGCTTTTCTTCTCTTATACGTTGATGATATTATTCTCACCACTTCTACTGATCAACTTCGACGCACCATTATATCCTCTCTAAGCATGGAGTTTGCAATGACAGATTTGGGGCCTTTGACATATTTTCTAGGCATTCATGTTGCCCGAGACACAAATGGTATTTTTCTTTCACAGTCCAAGTATGCTACGGAAATACTCAACCGCGCTGGCATGTTCACATGTAACCCAGTTTCTACTCCGGTGGACACTGCCGCCAAGCTGAGTGCCACGGCTGGACCGCCTGTCCCTGATTCCACCTTATTTAGAAGTCTCGCCGGCGCCCTCCAGTATCTCACCTTCACCCGCCCGGATATCTCTTACGCCGTCCAACAAATTTGTCTCTTCATGCATGACCCCCGAGCTCCTCATCTTCATGCTTTGAAACGTATTCTACGTTATATTCGTGGCACTTTACTTCACGGTCTCCATATTAGGCCATCTCCTTGCTCCTCTCTTGTCGCCTACACGGATGCCGACTGGGCCGGTTGTCCGGATACCCGCCGGTCCACTTCTGGGTATTGTGTTTATCTTGGTGATAACCTTATCTCTTGGTCTTCGAAACGACAACCTACTATTTCTCGGTCCAGTGCTGAGGCCGAGTATCGTGGGGTTGCAAATGTGGTTGCCGATCTTTGCTGGCTGCGTAATTTACTATTGGAATTACAATGCCCTCTTCACACTGCTTCATTAGTTTATTGTGACAATATAAGCTCCGTGTACATGACTGGCAATCCCGTTCATCATCAACGTACTAAACACATTGAACTTGATATACATTTTGTTAGAGAGAAGGTTGCTCGTGGTGAGGTTCGTGTACTACATGTTCCATCACGTCATCAATATGCTGACATATTCACCAAAGGATTGCCTCGGATTTTATTCGAAGAATTCCGCTCCAGTCTCAACGTTCACTCTTCTCCCGTTGCCACTGCGGGGGGCTGTTAACGTACATATTATTTTATTAATAATGTACAGTGTTACTATTTAATCCATGCACGGCCATACAACAGTGAACCCAATCCTACTACGGATGCATGTGGACATACTCCTGGAAAGCTTCCTTACTGTTATTATTTCCTTCTATTACGGAAGGTTATCACTATCCATCTATAGGTTGTTGTACTACTACTTACTATACGGATAGTTGATATATACGGATAGTTAGATTAATTAGATAAGATTTGACTTGTAATCTATTATGTACTTGTACTGCTATTTATACTCAACGATAGATGAATAAACAGGACGGTGAATTTCATCAGATTTAACTAGGACATCAGAGAAAAAGGTATCTGCTAAACTTTAATCATGCCTTGGATATGAACCGTGTGATTTAGAATGGCCCTTGGCTTTTTTAACGTGATTTGATACTGTTGAAAGTTGTTCAGCCAGATGACATACCTGAATCGATGAATTTATCTGAGGCTAGCTTTTGGGTACAAGTTCATAATGCTCCTGTTAAGTTTAGAAACTTGGGATCTGCCAGGAAAATTGGCAATTTTTTAGGCTTTTTTATTACGTTTGAGATGCGTCAGTTTGATGGCAAACAGAGTTCTTATCTGCGTATAAAGGTATGTCTGGATGTTTGTAAGCCTTTGAAAAAAAGGCACTACTTGGACTAAAGATGGGGTGAAGCATTGGGTGGACCTTAAATATGAATAACTACCCAGCTTCTGTTTTTTGTGTAGTATTATCGGACATTCTGATAAATTTTGTCTGTTGAAGTATGAAGGGGGTTTTGCAGCTGAGAAAACGTTTGGGGTGGGACTCAGAGCAGGAGGAAGAGTGAAGACCAGCCCTACAGGAGTACCCAACAGATGGTTATCTAGTGAAGCTTCTAATTCAGGTGGATATGGGTTTCAACGGAAGGCTGATCTCAGGGAAGATTTATCGACTGAATCCAAGACCAGTATGCCACACCAGAACGAGATAGTTGACAAGGAAGAAACTTCTGGAGACACACAACGCGGAAGGATCTGGGACAATCAGGCCAAAGAAGATACAAGTGGTGAAGGAATGGCTTTGGGTGGGCCAAAAAATGGGGAGGCGGCGGGTCAATCTTCCTAGACCCGCCGAGTTTTCATATGGTGGTGATGATGAAGAGGACAAGTGATGGTGTTACCTTTATTGTTTGTTTCTATTGCTTTTATTTTGAATGCTTTGTTCTGTTTTACTTTTATTTTTCTAAGCCCTGTAAGACTCTTGCATTAGGTTTGGGGGTGGAAGTGTTGCGGTAACCGCCATTGACTTTAAGTTGCCCAAATTTGGTCTAGCGAGTTATACTGCTTTTTTACAGGTGGTTAACTCTCAGTCTCGACCATGGGCGGATGGTTACATGTGGTTCTTTTATGGTTCTTTTATGTTTCTGTACCCTTGCTGAATGCTATTTCTATGAATTAAGCCCTCTTTGAGCAAAAAAACAGTTTAGACATGTCTTCAAATACAATATTTTTAAATTTACAATAACAACGCTTTCAAAAAAATTACAATAACAATAATTAGGTTTTAATGGATTTGGTTGATTATTACTTAGAAGTAGGACTGCTCAATTTATTCAACTGAAAGCTTCTCGCACAAGAAGCACTCATTTTTAATTACAATCAAATGGTCAGTGGCATAACAAAAAGGGGCTTTGATCCCACTTCAAAAAGTAATCATCTCGCTCGAGTAAAGGTTGTACGTTATTTTTTGAGTTATACTAGAGATACAAAAACTCTTACTCCCTCCGTCTCATTTTACATGTCCTACTTTTCTTTTAAGGTTGTCCCAAAATAAGCGTCTCCTTTCCTTTCTTTGAAATAAATATGTGGTCTACACCATTTCACTTTATTATACTCAAACTTCAACCACAACTTTTACTTTTTCAACCACTTCATTAATTACCGTGCCGAGTCAAACTAAGACACATAAAATGGGACGGAGGTAGTACAAAAAGTCTTACAAAAGGGGTATGTGGCATCATCACATTTTTTAACACACCACATCACTTTTACAACACTTTTACATCAAAGGTAATTAGAATAGCCACATCACTTGTTTGTAAGTTTTTTTTGTAAGTGTGTTTGTACTTCTAGCATTTTTCTTATTTTTTACATCATATGATTGATTTTCACTATAACGTTCTCCTCTTTATACACTGTTTTGAGTTTTAGTTACACTTTTGTGAAACATATGCGCTCATATATATAGGACTATTCGTATGACGCTCAATGCCCGAAGTTATCGTGATAAGGTTAATGGAAAGTTTTTTGCCTCCTTTGAATTATTTTTATTTATCCATTTTGATTTTGGCAAGGTTGTAAGTGTTTTGTATCGAAACATGAAGACTTATAGGATGATGTTAAACTCCAGTTTGACCAGGGCCGGCCCTGACATATAAAAGGCCCTGTGCAAAATTGAATATGAGACCCTAAAATATAAAACACTATATTAATATTTCCACTGTTTTTAAATAATAGTTTCCTTAAGTTTTTTGTGGGTTTTAAGGAGAAAATAGTAGGTGTAGTATAGATGTGTAAGGTAAAAAGAAAAAGTAGAAAATATAATATATTAAAAAAGTAAAGTAATGACAAATTATTTAAAAGAAAGTAGTTACATGCTCGTTCCAAACTGTACAAGGGTTTTGCGCTAATTACTGTAACTAGTTAGGCCTTGTGAAATAAAAAATTACACAATTGTAATTAACAATTACATTTTAATTACATATAAATATTACTATTTAATGTTTGTATTTTAAAAAGTACTAAGATAGAAATTTTTAATCAAATAAATTAAGATGTGTTATATTATATAGACTATATTTAAAATTTTGGGCCTTCTGAAATTTTTGGCACGCCCTCATCTGCAGCTCGTTTGTGGGTGATAGAATCCGAGTCTGATAATTGGATTTATGCCTGAATTTGGTATAATTTTGAGTCTTTTGTAATGTTGTTTGATTTATTAATTTTAATATACATTATTTCTATTCAAAAAAATTAAAGGACCATTGGGCACTTCTTTAAGTAACAAAAATACCAAATTTATCATTCTAAGAAACTCTTAGACCTTTGAAATTAGGGAAAGTTCCCGAAATGGGACTAAAAATGTTCAAAAATTCCAAAATAGGACTGTCATGTTTTTATTACCAAAATAAGACTAATTACTGTCAAATTTGGAAAATACTGTCATATTTGAAGTCTGGTAACGCCAAAATATAACAGTAATTAATCCTATTTTGGAAATAAAAACAAGTATTAGTCTCGTTTTCGGTAATATCTCTTGAAATTACACTCATAAAATAATAAATACGGAGTATGACCATGAAGATGTGGAAATGGTCGAAAGAAAATTCCAAGTCTCACATTCTAAGCACTGAACTTTGAAGATTACACGGCAACCGAATAAGAACAGGTAGAAAGCGATGAAAAAGGGTTGATCTTTCTATTATTAATTCATTAATCAATTTGGTTAAGAACGATGCCGGAAGCAATGGAAGACAACGGTGACGGCATTACTGCCAGCCCCCCTACTGCTGTCTCCGGCGGGAACGGCAGGAATGGCAATGCCAATAGCAGCAATGACACGGCGGTGGCGAGGCGGAGGGTAAGAATAGGATCCGCCTGTGGAGGAGTAGTGATAGGGAAGCCTGTTATAGTGATGATATGCGGGAGCCTCGTTTACTACCACTGCGCCTACCAGAAATCAAGCCTGGTCTCTCTCGTCTCCGACGTCTTTATCGTTCTTCTCTGCTCTCTCGCCATCCTCGGCCTTCTCTTCAGACAGATGAGCATCCCGTATGTCTTATTCACTACTATCTTTGTTTACTTATCTGTCGATCTGTGTCTGAATTTTCAATTGCTTATTCCAACTCTTGTATATAAACATATACTCCGTAATATAGAACATGAAACTTCAATTCCTGGATTTGATGCTTAGTACTTAATTAACTGAACCCCAGTGTGCCAGTGGATCCGCTAGAGTGGCAGATATGTCAGGAGACGGCCAATAGCGCATTCGCGGGCTTGGCTAATACCATTGGCGCTGCGGAATCTGTTCTCCGCGTTGCTGCTACTGGCCATGATAAGAGGTTGTTCTTCAAGGTTAGTTTCTACAATTCTACCTACCATTTCCCTGGCATCATTGTCTTAAGTTGTTTTTGTGATCAAACTTTATAAGCCATACTTATTTATGTCATAAGTCATATGGATCTGTCCATTGGTATAACACTATTAGTGCACTACTATTGTGTAGTGTAATCACACTAGCAATAATCACTCATTGCTTGTATGAAATATGTCATTGGTTTCCCTTCAGAGCATTTGAGGTGCTAATTAACAAATGGGAGAGAAATGAAGGGAATCCTTCCGGATATATTTGCTCCATAGAACTGGGAAAGGGAAAATGAAATGGGAAGTTTTATTACTGAGCTTGGTTCCACAGTGGAAAATGAAATATGATCAATGTTTTTACACATCTTAGATTAATCAGTCTTTATGTGATAGCCATAGACAAAAACTGAGATTAAAACTTCAAAAAATACATGAAAAATAAACTTATTGGGTTTGAACAAACATTTCCCCTTCATATTTTATGTTCTTAAAAAAATCTATACATTCATCCCAATTTACTTTTCTTAGCATTTTCCAAGTCCCACGTGAACATTTGGAAACCAAGATTTATTATTGTTATTTGTAGGGCAATTTGTTTTTTGTTCATTAAGGAGATACTTTCAATGGGTAAAGCATAATTGTGAAGGAAATTAGGTATAGGGGTGTCTATCCCTGCCCTCTTTAATTCTCGTTATGTAAAATAAGGTCAATACATCTTAGACTAAATTTGTTGTGATCAATATCAAAATATCAAATGTTTTTGTGTGTGTTTCCATTAATTATTTTGGTGAAAAAAGATAGATAGACATAGACAGATAGATAAATTAAGGTAAGGTGGTTACTCATACGGTAGCATTAGCCACAGCAAAATTTGATGCATTACTGTTACTGACTAGATTGAGGCTCCGGTGACAAGTTTTATATTCTCTACCACAGGTTGTTGCTACTCTTTACGCGCTATCTGTTTTAGGGAGGATGGTCTCAGGTGTTACCCTTGCTTATGCTGGTATGTTATCACATACATATCTTCCATTTTTCCTTTAGTCATAACTTTTAGTCTTGCGGTCATGCCTATATAATATATTAATATGTATCTGATATAATGCTTTGCCATTCTTTTGAATCATTATCAAATGGAATATATGCTTAGCAGTTGCATATTTGCATTTCCTATAATTGGCTTCTACTCCCTCTTTCTTTCTTTTTTTCTTTTATTTATGCTTTCATTCTGTAACATTTTTATAGTTAATTTGTTTATCACCTATGTTCTTTCCTCCATTTCTTAAATGGAAACCAAAAATGACGTGGAAACTCTGTTCATGGTTCTTTATGGACATTCCACAGAGAGCTGGAGGTAAATGCACGTGTTCTGAAATCTGAACATGTTTGGGTTGCTTTAATCAAAGGGTGTGCCCTGTACAACTTAAGCCAATTTTGGAATAGCTGGATTGAGCAGATATATCTGTAAACTGACTGTGCCAATACAAAAACGAGATGAATAGCATTTGTTCCCAAAAATCAGAGATATATCTGCCAATATCCCATATGTGTGACTTGTAGAACAAATTTTCAAAGATAAAAACCTTGGAAATTCTCAGACATTTTTGAAGTTCCTGCATGATTTTCCTAAAAAACCTGTGAAATATTCATACAAAGTTCATTTATCTTTATTGATAGTTTCAACAAATTATACATGCATATAATAATATGATAGTAATTTGTGCATAAATCCTATATATATGAGCGCATATGTTTCACAAAAGTGTAACTAAACCCAAAACGGACCAAATACCATCAGTAGATTGAGATGAGCTTCTACTAGTGCACTATAAGGAAATCGCCTGAATGGGGGGGCCTAGGCTGTGTAGAGTTTCTCCTAGTTGATACATAGTGTCAGTTTTTTTAGATATACTTGGCAGGATAAGATGTCAAGAGTGATTCCTCACATTCCCATCACTTAATTTGCCCTTTGTTGTTAAGGGTTTTCTGATATCTCAGCGAATCTTTTCCAAGACTTGTCCAATATGGTCATCATTGTTTTTTTGTAGCTAAATTGATTTTTGTATAAACGTGAGTTGGAAAAGTAGAAGCTACCAAACGTGATTTTTGGCTCACTATGTAACCACACATGTCCATTATTTTACTTTATTGAGGTATTTTGTTGTGT